GTGTGTTCACGGTGTGTGTGTGTTCACTGCTGTGTGTGTGCACTTTGGATGGGTTAAATGCAGAGCACTAATTTCAAGTATGGGTCACCATACTTGGCCACATGTCACGTCACTTTATTTTTTAACAGTCACTTGTCGCCACCTAGTGGCGAAACAATCGACACAAACGTTATTTGAAGCACCAATTACTTTCAAAAGGGGATTTGCTCTATTTTGATCACTGCCATAGACATCAATGTTTATATCTGAACTATAAACTTTCATCCCAGAATTTCTGTGTTAATATGAATGACCATAAGACCGAAATAATACTGTGTAGTTGAAAAGACTGTTTGTGAAGCTTGCGATCTTTTAACGATGAATCGTGCAGCTCTAATATCAACTCAAATGTCTGTAACATTATTCTGATAAGGAATCCTCAAATAATCTGAAGCAAATATCCTTGTTCTCACAGCAGCCTACTCCTTCGACCAGAAGAACACGGCGCAGAACGCTAATGGAGGAAAACCAGTCCCACTCCGAACTTGCAGTCGACTCCCAGCCAGATGAGCCGAAGGATGACAGTACTGCCTCTTCCTCAGTAGCTAGTCCGCTCAAGCGAGAAACTAGAAGATCCACACGTCTCCTTGCTGACAAAAAGGAACCAAACTCTACCAATGAAGCTGATGTGTCTGAGTCAGAGTCCTGCTGCTCTGTAGTTTCTGATGTGCAGGTGACACCCAGAACCCGACGGAGGACTGCAGTCAGGGAGAAGCCCACTGTGCAGGACGAGGCATCCGAAGTTGAATCCTGCTCATCTGAGGTGTCCACGACCCGTTCTCGCAGTGCTCCGCGCAGTCTGAGGAAGCGTGTTCTGACTTCAGCTGCTACAAAAGATGCCGCAAAGAACGATGATGATGATCCCACAGGGACCGAGTCCTGCAGTTCTGCTGTGTCCGTCACTACAGCTATGGACACTCGTCGGATAACAAGGAGCCATCGGAAGACTGCTGTTCCTTCCGCAGAAGCAGATTCATCTGAACCAGAGTCATGCTCCTCCAGCGTTTCTGGCCTTCTTGGCTCTGTGGTCCGCAGATCTGCTCGAAACCAGAAGGTCAAACCGACCCAGTTGATCCCTTTGAGCTTTGAGGAAACCACAGACACCCCTTCTTCTCCAGTGTCCAAGAAGAGAGGCAGTAGGCACAAAACAGGAGTTGACGAGGAAAATGAGTCAGACGGATGCAAGTCATGTCCCAGCATGAGTCCGTGGAGATCCACCAGGCGTCAACCCAAACTTGGCGAATCAGATTCAGAATCGGTAGCTACTGATGTCTGCAATTCTCAGGGGAGCCCAAGCCCTCAAAGAGGAAGGGGGACTCCTTGTAGTAGCCGAACTGGGTCTGCTAGTAGTACCCGTGCAGTTCCTGTAACCAGGGCAAGAAGTAAAGCAAAAGTGAATTCTGATGTATGTGACACCATTACAACTGTTGCTGCCATGCCTGAGGAACGGGGTGAGGAGCTTGAACCTCATCCTGAAAGTATTCCAAGAATAACGTTAGAACAACTGGATAGCACTGTGACCATGGACACCAGTGAAGCTCAAGAGTACACCATGATTGAGGAGAGAGCTGAAGATACCACTGTAGTTCTTGATCAGGATGAGCCCATCGAGATGCAGGAACCCCAGAGCATCTTGCAAGATGTTGAGGCGGTGGAGGACAGTGGAACTGAAACTCTGACACTTCAAGAAAAACCTGTGGATGAAACTTCTGCTACACTAACTGAAGAGCCTGGAGATGTTGCCATGGAAAATGATGAGCCAGAGTTTGTGGAGACAAGCCATGTTGTTGAAAATCAAACATGTTCTGAGCCTGTGAAAGAGGATATGGTAGAAGCTGTGGCAGAAGTTCCTCGACCAGCTGTGGTTGAGAAGGCCATTGAGGATCAGACTTGTACTGAACCTGTGAAGGAGGATACGGTAGAAGCTGCGGCAGAAGATCCTGAACCAGCTGTGGTTGAGGAGGCCATTGAGGAGCAAACATGTTCTGAGCCTGTGAAGGAGGATACGGTTGAAGCTGTGGCAGAAGATCCTGAACCAGCTGTGGTTGAGGAGGCTATTGAGGATCAAACTTGTACTGAGCCTGTTAAGGAGGATGTGGTAGAAACCATCCTAGAAGATCCTGTGTCAACTGTGGTTGAGGAGCATGAGAACAAGGTTGAGTGTGAAAAGAAAGGTGTAATCGTTTATGAGGAAGCTAATGACACCATTAAGACAACTGGAAACGATTCTGTAATGTTGAATGACCTTGAAGGCCCTTCTACAAGCTCACACACTGAACCAAATCTGATCACCACAGAGGAAATATCTAAGAAACCTCCTCCCCAGAAAAAAATGATCAGTTTACTCGACAGCAGTGAGGATGAAGACAGTGCTGATGAAGGTTGTTCACAGAAAGCTGAAGATGTGCGGAGTGAAGACGATGTGATGTGCCCTGATGGAAATCAGGCGTCAGAAAAACCAGAGGCACACGGTAACGGACTGTTTGTCATAGACACTAAACCTGGACTACGGTCCAAAAAACAGTATTATGTTGATGCCAAGCAAACCGAGGAACAGGATGAGGAGGATTTTGTTGATGAGGAAGAAGATGACAATGATGAAGATTCAAAAGTGCTGTTCACTTCCAAAAAGCCTCTGTAAGTTTTTTTTTTTCTCCTATTGTATTGATTTTTAAATATTAAAAGTGTTTAAAATTTGTAGCTCTTCAGTAAATATTTACATGTGATGTTTAAATTATATTTAGTCTGAAAATGTCAAACTGTGTTTTCTCGCTCAGGATACAGCTATCTAGTGCCATTGACGCAGGTCTGAAAATGAAGGAACTTGGTGGTTTGTACATCAGTTTTGATGGCAACAAGCCAAAGAGTCTTTCCAACAGTTCGAAAACCCAGAAGGACCTGAACAATCCAGATGAGGTAAATAATAATCATTTGTTAGATGAAACATTGACTATATTTGTAATTTTAAATTGTAATATTTCTCAATATTATTTTTTTTTTATATCATAAGCATTTCAAAACATTTCAAAGCAGTTTGTGGAGATGCTTATTGAAGCTAACGAGCATGAAAAATGTTGTATTCATTTTGTAGTTGCTGAAGAAGAGTGTTATCGTTCCGGATTTTGAGAAAAAAGATGCTGTGCCACCATACAGTGAATCAAAGCATGCTGCTAAACTCAAGCGCAAGGTGGGTACGCCAGTTCATGAACAAATGGATGGTCTACATTTTGTGTCTCCTTGAAGGGAAAGCTGTTTTAGTTTTTAACTTTTATTAATTCATCTTGAAAACTTAAACTCGTTCAAAAGTTTGGGGTCAGTATGATTGTAGTATGAAGCATGAATGAGTTTAATACTTTTGAGCAAGAATGTATTAAATTGATCAAAAGTGAAAATAAAGACATTTATAATGCTACAAAAGAGTTCTATTTTTCATGGTTGCTACAAAAAATATGTAACCGTTATATAAGTGTTTACAACAGTACATTAGAATGATTTCTGAAGGATCATGTGACACTGAAGACTGGAGTAATGGCTGCTGAAAATTCAGCTTTGCCAAGAATAAATTAAATTTTAAAATACATAAACATAAGAAAGTAATTTTAAATGGTAATATTTCTCAAAAATACTTTAGTATTTTTTTTATTATAAATGTAGCCTTGGTGAGATAAAAATAGAAACAATAGTGTCACTTTAAATCTTCAATACTCAAGAAATGGTTATGATATCTGGCGAAAACTCAAGTCATTATAGTGATAGTGTTAACAAGTTTGTAATTCTCATGCTTTTGATTACATCAGGGTTTTCTAAGCAATGTACTAATCTTATTTGTGCGATATTTGTCATACAGGCGGAAAGAGAAAAGACAACTGGTGATGGCTGGTTCAACATGAGAGCTCCTGAATTAACAGAAGAGCTCAAAAATGACCTGAAGGCACTTAAGATGCGCTCAGCTATGGACCCAAAGCGCTTCTACAAGAAGAATGACAGAGAAGGACCTCCCAAGTACTTTCAGGTTGGTTGGGAAGTCTTTATCAGCAACAGACTTTCCCCTCAAACAACTTTTCAAAAAGCCATTGTTCCTTAGACAAAAAAATGATGAAAACAAAAAATGAGAATGGTTATCAAAATACTGACGTTGCAATCAACCATAGGCGTACATGTTTAAAGAAAAACAGACAATGGCATATTGTTCTGTTCTTTAGTAAAGTTTTGCTCTTTTTGTTGCAGGTTGGTACAGTGGTTGACAACCCAATAGACTTTTATAGTTCAAGAATCCCTAAGAAACAAAGGAAAAGGACCATGGTGGAGGAGCTGCTTGCAGATGCAGAGTTTAGAAGGTAAGAAAGCTGTGGCTGATTAGTTTTATATGGAGTAAATTGTGATGAATGATTCATATTCATGACAATGGGATTTTATTATAGATTGTTCTCACTATTGTTTTAAATGAATTGTCATGTACTAAAATACCTCTTTTCTTCTCTTTTCAGCTATAACAAAAAGAAATATCAAGAGATCATGGCCGAAAAAGCAGCACAGGCTGCTGGCAAGATGAACAAAAAGAAGCACAATTTCCATAAAAAGAAAATGAATAAATAATTTCATAAGGCAAATCAGTTTTTTCCTCTTTCCTGAACAGGAATTGTTTAGCCTTTGTAAATATAAGGCAACTATATATTTTTATTTTCAGTGGATTATTGAAAAGGCATTTTTAGTGTTATAATCATATGCATTGCATGTAAAAAAAAAACAAAAAAACATGCAACTTGTACAGAGATGATTTTTATAGATTTTAGAGTTTTTTCTGTAGAGATTGGCTGACTGATTACACCTCTGTGGATTCACAATAAATCAAGTCCAAAGAACGTGTACTGTTGAGTTTTTTTTTTTTTTACTACTGCTGCTATCATTATGGAAGTTAAAAAAAAAAGTAAATAACATCTTGTCAAACTCCCACTACCCATACTGGTTTCCTGATTTGATTTACCAGACATATGCAAATACATTAAATGACTGATTGAATGTATCTATGATCACTGTGTCCAGGTGCTTTGTCCACTGTGTCCTGTCTGTGATGCGTTGCTGTAAAGGTTCTTGTAGATTTTGCTCAAACTGTCCTCAAACACAGCTCTGTGGGGCTTTCCTGTGTACGCACCCGCTCTGTTAGTCCAGAATGTTCCATTGTCTAAATGAACAGATGGTTCTCCAGGAATAAGCCTGCAGTATGGACAGGACACAATGTTTATGGAACGTCAAATTAAAACTTGCTGTATTGCTAAAAAAAAATAAATAAATATATATATATATATATATACACGCATATATATATACTCAAGACTGTATAAGTCTTGAGTATATGTGTGTATATATATATGATTTACGGTTATATATTCAAACTTACAACTATATTTTCGGATTAAATTGTATTTATTCAGACATTTAATTATATATTCAGATTAACTTCTATACATATATTCATGATTTTCATTTACATATTCCAAAACGGAATCTATATATTATATATTAATATAATCTATAAATCTGATCATATAGATGCACGTATAATCTGCATCTATATATTCAGACTTATCCATATATAATCATAATAATAATATATTTTATTTGTAGTGCTCCTTTCTTACACTCAAGGTGCTATATATTGCAACTTTCATGTATATTTTCAGAATTATAAGCACATATTCACAATTTACATTTATATATTCCGGTTTAAAACTATATTTAGATTTACTTCTATATATTGATGATTTACATTTTTATATTACAATTTGTATCTATATTTGGATTTACATTTATATATTCAGATTTACTTATATATATATATATATATATTCACAATTTACATATGTGACCCTGGTCCACAAAACCAGTCTCAAGTAGCACGGGTATATTTGTAACAATAGCCAAAAATACATTGTATGGGTTATGCCAAAAATCATTAGGATATTAAAGGGGTTAATATATAAATCTCAGTTTGGAAAAATTTAATTGGCCCTTATGACTGGTTTTGTGGTCCAGGGTCATATACACTGAACAAAATTATAAACGCAACACTTTTGTTTTTGCCCCCATTTTTCATGAGCTGAACTCAAAGATCTAAGACTTTTTCTATGTACACAAAAGGCCTATTTCTCTCAAATATTGTTCACAGGGGCAAAAACAAAAGTGTTGCATTTATAATTTGGTTCAGTGTATATATTCAGATTGTATATAATTATTTGCTGTTTGGCACTTCATATATACATACAAACAAACACACAAACAAACCCACACGCACAAGCACATGCACACACAAACAAACAAACAGAAAAATTTCACAGATATCTGACGAACAGAAATGGAATAATGAGTCCCTGAACCAAGGGGGGTGTCAATATCTTGTCTGGCCATCAGCTGCTTTAGGCACTACAGTGTATTTCATGATCATGGGCTGCACCAGATTTGCTGGTTCTTGCTGTAATATGTAGATTTTTCAACCAAAGCACTTGCAAGTTTTAGCACAAGTCTTTGGGGACACATGGTTAAGGACGATTAACTGCTCTTCCTGTCTCCCCGTAGCACTGTCTTAGGTATCTTACAAACATTAAAGACATTGCAGTTTATTTCTCTGGCCACATCTGCAGTCCTCATGCCTCCCTGCAGCAGGACTATGGCATGTTAACACAGGTGAGCAGGGACCCTGGGCATATATCTTCTGCTGTTTTTCAAGAGTCTTACTGCTCTTGTAAGGCATTGTAACTGACCTTGTATAAATTTTGCTAAATTATCTTTAAAATATAGCATCCTGAAAAAGGGATGTGTGTGTGTATACATACATACATACATATACATACACATATACACACACACACACACACACACACACACACACAGTTGAGGCCAAAATTATTAGCCCCCCTATGAAATTTCAGATATTCTTTTTCAGATATTTCCCAAGTGATGTTTAACAGAGCAAGGGAATTTTAACACAGTATTTCTTATTATATTTTTCATCTGGAGAAAGCCTTATTTCTTATTAAATTTTTCATCTGGAGAAAGCCTTATTTATTTAAATTTGCCTGGAATAAAATAATTATAAAAAAAAAAAATAATAAAATGGCTACGGTCAATATTATTACCCCTATTAAGAAATGATCTGTTTGATTGGCTACGGAACAAACCACTCTTATTCAATGACTAGCCTAACTAACATAACTTGCCTAATTAACCTAATTAATCCTCTAAGCCTTTAAATTACACTGTAAACTGAGGATTAGTATCTTTCCAAACAACTATTAAAATAATATGTACTGTCATCATGGCAAAGACAAAAAAAATTAGTTTAGACTTGAGAAAAAGAATTGTTAATGCTCACAAAGGAAGAGAAGCATATACATGTTTATCAAAGTGTTTTCAAGTGTCAAGAACAGCCGTGAGAAGTATTATCAAGAAGTTTGAAGAGACCCACACAGTGGAGAACAGAGGCAGGAAGCGAAAGATTTCGAAAACTTTGTAAAGCACACTATTGAGAGAGGTTTCTAAAGACCCACGAACAACTGCCAAGACACTAGTGAATGATTTAGTCAAGTCTGGGATTGATATCTCAACGAAGACGGACACTAGAGGCCCGGACAGGAATGGACTGTGAGGATGCCGACCAAGAAAAACTCCTCTTCTGAAGAAGAGACACCGCCAAGCTAGACTGAAGTTTGAAGGACAACCTAGAGAAAACTATGTATACTAGAAACGTGTCCTTTGGTCAGATGAGACAAAAGTAGAGCTCTTTGGCCATAGAGATGTTGCCTATGTTTGGAGTAAGAAGGGACAGGTGCTCAACCCAAAGAACACCGTCTCCAGAGTGAAACATGGCAGTGGGAGTATAATGCTGTGAGGATGTTTCAGTGCGCTTGGAACTGGGAATCTCGTCAGGGTCAAAGGAATCATGAAAACGGGAGACTACGAGAAGATTTTGAAAGACAACCTCAGGCAATCTGCAATTGTCTTCCAGCATGATAGCGACTCAAAGCATACCTCATTTCTGGTGTAGAACTACTTCCAAATGAGCAAAGTGAACGAACTTGACTGGCCTGCACAAAGCCCAGACTTGAATCCAATAGAAAATCTGTGGGGCACACTGAAGACCAGAGTCCGTGCCAGGAGACCAACAAATCTGGAGGACCTTGAGAGATTTGCCAAGGAGGAATGCAGGCGCAACTCCTCAGGAGACATGCCTGAAACTTGAGAACTACAACAAACAACTAAAGGCTGTTATCAAGCAAAAGAGAAAGACCATTGACTATTAACATCAGAGGGCTAATAATTTTGGCCTGTAGACTTTTTTTTCTTGGTTATAATTTTGTTTCTATCTATATTACAAACATTCCAAGCTTCCTAAATAAACTACTATGTTTAGAAATGATGTGTTGAAAAAACTTTTTAAAAAACTATTTAAAAAATAATGAAATATTTTATAGGGGACTAATAATGTTGTCTTCAACTGTGTGTATATATATATAACCCAAAGAAATATTCTTTAAATTTTCATTTAAACTAGAAATCCTAAACTGTTTGAAACGAGGCGATGTTTACCTGTCCTGCGGTAGCCGGTTGTCAATCACTGAGTCACGGTGGGTGGAAACATGTGAACTCTGTCTGACCCCCTCCTCCTCCTCACTCTCTTCATCCTGACAACACACACACACACTTTAGTCACTAAAATATTCAAATCATTATCACTAAATAATGCAATAAGCCGATGTTTAATTATAATACGGTGAAATTAGCACAAAGATATGCAGCGTTGCCGAATATCCCAAACCAATTAAATTTTTTCCAAAATCTGCTAATGCAATAAGAGTGAAACTCTCATAAAAGCAAATCCTTTGAACTGCTTGATTAAAACTCTTAAAAATAAATCCCAGTCCTTCTCTCTTTTTAAATCTGGAGTGGATTACACAGTTCCCTTCTCGAGCTGGGCTTCAGCCACGCAGCGCTTGGCACCCAACTGTGCCAGTGCGGCATCTCTTCTCTCTCTTCTATCTGTAAAAGATGAGCCTGTAACGACAGCCGTCAGCCTGCAGACCTTCCTCCCAGTGAACATGCATTCCTTTTTTCCTCGAAGGGAGGATTTGGGGAAGCTTTAGTGTAATTAGAACTCTTTCGCTTTTCTTTCACATCAGGGTGTTCCAGCGAAACACGGTGTGGGCGGTGATGCGTTTAAGCGGCCTACGACTCGAGCGAACAGAAAGAATGAGCATGTAAGGTGATTACCTCGTTCACTTCCTGGAAGACAGTGGCGGCACATCCTGACACAATGGATGTGAAAAACACAGAGCGCTTGACAGAATCAATGGAGGACGTTTGAAACACTGACATGTGCCGTAATGAGTGTTTGGAGATTGCTTTTGCACGGGTTAACGTGCGCATTGAATGACAGCATTACATGCAGTTGCGATCTCAGGTGAGACGTACAAAAGAAAGCTTGCAGCGGGCTCCGTGGATGTTCAGGATTCTCTGCACTCGTTTGTGGATCTCCTCCGACTGTGAGGGACTGGATGAACTCTGGAAACTGCAGGGAATGGAAAACAACAGGACTGAAAAGACAAAACCCAAAAATGAAAAATGAAGTCTTGGAATTTCACAAGAAAATAATTTACAAAGGACTGAATAGAGGCAACAACTATAATGAATTTGCACAAACTAATATTTATTGTATTATTATAATTATTATTATTAAATTTTTCATTTTTTAAATGTATATATAAATGTGTAATTATTAATTTATATATATATATATATATATAA